TTGAACGTTGTGTATACATTTTTTTTACATCCTTTTTTACTGATTACTTTCTTGTATCAGGTCATCTCTACACCATTTTTTTTCTTTTTTGTATTTTGACTGACCAGTAAACTTAAAGAATAATAGGGTAAATCTTTGAGGTAAAAAATGTGGTTTGATTGGTTTAGGAACATACAAAAATCACAACAGATCTATAAGGATCAAATATATATATATATATATATATATATATATATATATATATATATATATAGAAATACTCAAATATCTTGAGTGAGCTTGTAATCATAAAATCATAAGCTAAAAGACGTTTTCTAAAAATATTTGAACTGAAAGTAGGGTAAAAACACTTGAAAACATTTTCCCTGTTTTTTTAAGGTTTTATAAAATGTACAAGCCACACAGTTGTGTGTACAAATAGGTGTTACAGAAAATACATAGCTGAAGAAGGGTTTTCTGATAATATATGAACAAAAGATTTTGAAGGTTTTATAAAATGTACAAGCCACACAGCTGTGTATACAAATAGGTGTTACAGAAAATACATAGCTGAAGAAGGGTTTTCTAATAATGTATGAACAAAAGATGGGGTAAAACTTTTAAAGAACTTCTTTTCTACTCAACTTGCTGAAAAAACCCCATATCATAAATAAAAACGGATCTGATGTGGAGTGTTCATAAAACTTCCTTTTCTTTTTAGCTTGCTCAACAAGCTATGAAGATATGTGCAAGAAACATATCTGGAAAAAATATTTGTTTTCCTTCTATAAGATTTTGAAGAAAACACTAAATAGATAACTTCAAAGAAGTCTTGCAAAGAAAATCAAAAACTGAAGGTGATTTCTTTATAACATGAACTGAAAATAAAGTAAATATTTATCAAAAAGTTCTTCAACTTCTCAAGTTTCTTAGATAAAACACCAAAATATTGACAAATATGGAGAAAAGATCCTATGAACCTCTTTTCTCCCTGAAAATATAAATAAAACGGGTCTGAGTTGGCATTTTTAAACTTACGAGATGATTAAGTGAACAAAAACATACAAATCTAGAGATCTGAGCTAAAAACGTTGATAGATCTAAATTGTCTTTGCAAGCTTCGTGAATTCTTAGATGAGCTAAAAGCTGAACAGATCTTGAGATCTGAGCTTAAAAACGAAAACATATCAAGAAATCTGAACTTAAAATGAAGTAGATCTGAGCTTTCAAATCATTCGCAAATTTTTCTTTCACTTCACCAGCCATGTCAATGTATTTATCACAAAGTTGTTCATATTCAGTAAGTGAATAAAGACGTTCCTTCGTCTTTGTGAACTTATGTGGACCGTTAGTTATTGATTTCTAGATGTATTAACCACGATTCTTGATTCCAGTGATGTAATCTTCAAAATGCAACACTCACACCTCGTAATCATCTGGAAAGATAATTGGAATCCTGGTATTTGAACCAATGCTACTTGGCAAGTTAAATCACACAACATAATAATCTTTTTTTTTGACATGATTTCAATCAAAATTTGAACAATGAATCAAATCAATGAGTGAAAATAGAAATTCTAACCAAAACGAGTTCTAGAATAAGAATTTCAAGATCAAAATGAAAACTAATTGCAAATGCGGAAGAGATCTAGAAAAAATCAAAAATAAAGAACCACAAACTCGATGAACTTGATGAACTCAGGAGAATTCAAAGATTTGAAAATCGACTCAAAGATTTCCATGCTCTGATTCCACTTTTATGATCAAATAGATTCTACAAGTATGAAATCATGTTTGAAATGAAAGAAATGATAGCACTCGAGAGTAAATAAGATTCCAATTTCAATTAGAGTATGAAAGCTCAATTACAACGTTGGATGTAAGAACTTGCAAAAAGCATACTCTACTTTCTAACTAACATCCCTATTTATAGATTGACAAAACTGGGAATCGGTTAGAGAGAGACCAATAAGAATACGCCACCTAGGCAGTAACAGACTATCAACAATTATGCATATGTCATTACAAAACCTAGTGTACAAAAAGTCTGAAACCAAACATACTTTCGGAATAATACAATGAAGACTTAAGATATTACAATTGTGGAAGCTTTTGCAATATGACTCAGACACAACACATATAGACTACGGGTCGTAATAAAATCGGTTGTTTAAATCGAGTTCTTTGCTTCTGTTTGCTCAAGACAAGTTATTAAATCAAGTTTAATTTCGATTAAAAAAACAGCCCTCGTTTTTACTTTTATTTTTCTAGTTTAATTAATAGTTTTATTATCTAAATTAAATCCTACTCATTCCACTTGTATTCGACACCTGGTATTACCACAACTATACCCACTACTCGATTAGGTATACTGTCTAGTGTGTGTTTTAGTCCTATTACGAATAAACCAGAATTACAAATTTCTAACTTGCTCTCTCTCTCTCTCTCTCTCTCTCTCTCTCTCTCTCTCTCTCTCTATATATATATATATATATATATATATATATATATATATATATATACACACATATTAAGTTTTTTGGTACTGTTGTCGGGGAACGGTTTGATTTGTTTAGATTAATTAACCTTTAATTATTAGATCCTTTTTATGAGATTTAGTATGTAAAAAGTTATTTTTCTACAGTTTGGTATTTATTTTCTAATATTCGAGCCTTCACGCCACAATTTTCTATAGAATGCGACACGACCTCGTTGTATTCTAGTATGTTTTATTTTTCGTTTTTGTCCCTTTTTATACGTATTTTGGTTTAGTTTCTTTTCATTTTAGTTAATTGATTAATTAAGCTTCCACACCAAAAACAGTGCCCTTTTTTTTTTAAACCCATGCAACAATTTCAAAAGAGAAATAAGGAAGCCAAAACCAACTCTAATTTTGAGTCCGAATTCGTTATGAGTGACATAGTAGATACAAGCAATATCACACTCAAGGAATACATAATTCGTACCAGAAAGGGCACGAGGGCACTAGCCCATGTCTAGTTCGTCTGACAATCTTGGAAACAACTACTTTTGATCTCAAGGGGAAGTTTCTCAATATGCTATAAGAAACACATGTTTATGGAAAAGATCACGAGGACGTGCACCAACACAACGACGAAGTATTAGATATTGCAGATAACTTCAACATACCGGGAGTAACCAGAGACCCAGTGATGCTTCGTGTATTCCCCATTAACTTCCAAGATACAACAAAGAATTGGGTAAAATCATTACCATCGGATTCAATAACAACTTGGGACACTCTAAAATCGAAATTCCTTCAACAATTTAATATGTCATAACAAATCGCAAAATTAAAAGCAAAGATCAACAATTTCTAAGAGTTGGTTGGTGAGACACTATTCGAAGCAATGAGAATTTTGTAAGTAAGTATATATATCTTTACCTTTAAACCTATTTTATCTCAAATTTATCAAAGTTTCACAAAGTGGCTAGATAAATAATTTATTTGGTGTCTTCTATGGAATAAAAAAGGACAATAAAAAGGACAATAAAAAAGGACAATAAAAAAGGACAATATATATATATATATATATATATATATATATATATATATATATATATATATATATATATATATTATTTATTTGGTGTCGTATTTCTTTTTATATGCAACCACATGGATTCATATATATAATTACCAATATAGTTAAAATACTTACATGTAAATGAAACAAATGCATGGACCATCCTCCATGATTTTGTAGAATGAAATATAAATAAGGACGTTAATTTTCCAAACTCAAAAGCATTTTTGATCAAATGGTCTAATGTCTGAGAGTAGGATTGTATTTTATTGGTTATGTTTAGCAAACATATTAAGCGAAAGATATAATCAAATGGACTTCAAAATGTAGGAATAGATCTATCAAAGGATTTTCCAACTACTCTAATACCTGAACGATATGAATAATCAATTTGTAGAAACGGGAAGTGTGAATACACGCTTCTACAAACAGATAATAAATTAAAATACAATTTCTAAATTTGAAATTGTCAATAAATTAAATGAGATCGAATACGTAAGTAATTCCTTAAATAAAAAATGAAATTACAAAGTGAAAACTAAATTCACAGTGCATAAACTAAAAGGTCTCTCTTGAATTTCATACACATGAAATTCGATTACCAATATAGCTCTCATGTATCTCAATACATAAGGAAGTTACTCCTTATACACTATTCTTCAAAGATCAATTGAATAGTTAAGGATTCAAGTAACATTTGTCATTTATTAGATCAATAACCTTCTGTCCATATTTGCATGTTCTTTCTCTTTTATAAGTCAGCTGGAGAGTACATTGATCTTTGTTTGGCTGACAAGTCTTTTTTGTTCAAGGGGGTTGGCATTTTTTGGAACGAAACTAACTAATGACTTAAATTGATTTGGTCAACTATTCAATTTGAGATGACAAGTGATATAACTTCAAGTAAACAAAATGATCATATTTAACTGTAAAATGGCTAGCGTAATCTAAAATTGATTATTAAATCGTTTATTGTATTTATCACAAACTAGCCTTTTTTTCATCAATTTAACTACTAACTTCATCATAAAATATATACAAAATAACATATGACTAACACATGACATTGCAAAATAGGTGATGTACAACAACCAAACCTTCAAGAGCAATGTTTTTAGGAATGGCTACGAGGCTTTATCGACAAAACCTATAATGACATGTCGTCATTGAGTACTTAAAATATGTTTGTCACAGTGTCTAGTTATTTAAAATAAATAAATATTACATATATATAACAAACAAGAATCAAACTTCAAAACAAAATCTACATAACCCAGTAAATACAAGTAAGCCTTCTACTTTATGAACTTTCATGAAACATGAAAAAGGTACCAACCTTTACTTCACCATTTCTTGTCTTTTGTGTGCTTTTATGATTCTTTGTATGGAACTATCATGTTTTACTTTTTTTTGTATGCAAACAATACGGTAACGTTCAATTAAATGAATTTTCTCAAACATTGTATGGTGTAGCTAATGAAGAAATGATCCGGGCACAAAGATAAAATAATTGTCGATCAAAAATGGCTGATGGAGAATGTCATCTAAGAGTTGGGAACCTGAGTGCCAACATAACCCAAACCCATTACGATGAAAGCTATACCTTGTACACATAGGTAAATGTAGTAGTAATGCTTTCCAAATACAAGATCATAGCAACCTGATACAAGGAGGATAAGACCCACACAAAGCTCTAGCACAAGAAGCCTGTATGAGTCCAAATATATATTGTTAGATCTTTATTTATATTCATATAATTATGGTAAGCTAATTAGGGGTTTTTTTAAGTAACTTAGCCTATATAAATAATCTTATCTACAAGTATATGGTTTCTTTCTCTCATCTTGTATCCTCTTGAATAAATACAATATATATTCTTAGATTCTAGTATTTCAACACACGAGAAATAAATACTCCCATCAATATGCTTTCTCACATTGGTCTTGGAAGATTTTATTCTATTTTCATTTATATCTTTATGACATGTAGCGGTTCATCACTTAGATGGACTTTTTCGTATTCTATTTTTGGTCAATGATTTTTTTTTTTTACATCTATAGGGTCTTCAAAGAAATTATTAATATCTTTTTTGTGTTTTTAAATCATTATTATCGATGTTTATTATTTGCTATTAATATAATTAGTTTCTATCTTATTAGCTATATTTTATTTCTTATAAATGATATTTCGATTACAAATTAGTTGATATAACATTAAAACTGGTTAACTATCTTGGATAACGGGTTAATTTTTTTTTTATTCTTGTTTAAATTATATTAGTTTGTTTAATCAAATTTCACACTTTAAATAGTTTTTAAAAATAAATAAAAGATAAAAGATAAGTATTAGTAATTTTGCTTGAGTTATTTTTTAACTGCTTACGAAAATTAAAATATTTCAACACAATGTATTCATACCAATATAACTTATATTTGATTTGTATTTGATGTAAGCATATTAGACTTAATGCAACATAGAAAGTTTTATTTTGCATTGTATCCTCCCTAATAAATAAGAATTTTATTGGCACATGTCATTATCTCCTTCAACTTGTCAAATGTCAATTTGTAATTTAGAGATATTTGTTTTCCACTTATCATTACTTTCATTTTTTATTTTCCATTATATTATTAATTTAGTTTCTATAAATTAAATATACCATAATAACTATATTAATTTCAAATTTCAAATTCAAATAAATACAATTGAAACCTTCGTATTTAACATTTTGTTATAATTAACTCATTTAGTATACGGGTCTGACACGTAAGTTTAACTTATTTATTATTTGCATGTTTTTTTAATTTTTTTCTCATAATTTTCATTTATTTTAAATTTCAAATAAAAAATAAACTTTCTGTTTACTCCTTCGTGTTTAACATTTTGTTTTAATCAACCTGTATAATATACGGGTTTTACAACTAGTTTAGTATTATACGAATGTCTTTATATTGTATTATAACTTTCGAGGCTATGTTATTTTTAGATTGTTCTGTTACACCTCATGGCTGTTATGATGGGTCAGTGTCATTACAATGACGACGGTCAGGAACCACCTCAACTGTTTGGTGGACGTCCTCATGGCCACATCAAGCTTGTGGTAATTATGATTTATTACGATGTATTTATTTACTATATTTATTCATTTATTATCAATTATATTGACTAATATTTTTAATGCAATTGTATCTCAAAAAATAGAAAGGGGAAAATGCATATGATGAAAACAATAAGCAGCCTCTTCAGTTTGTGTTTGACGTGACTGCTACTTGCTTGCTAGATGGTCATGTATATCATTATTACATTCGTGATGTTAACAACTATTTATGTCAGGATGTCATTTTTTATAAAGACAGCTGGAAAGAGGTTTCTGAAGCCAAAAAGATGTCATATTCTAGCATCTTGGGATAAATTACTAATATAGTTATATTTCATATCTTTAGTTTTGATTGATTTTAAACTTTTCTATTTTTTTAGCAATGGTTTAATTTTCAAACGGTTTCAGATGATTCTAAGGTTACATGGTTATAAGAGTCCTTTACTGCTCATATGTGTATGTGATATAGAGGTGGTAAAATAATACGAAAACCTACTCTAAAGATATAAAAGTGTATGAGAAATTGGAAAGAGAAAGGGTTCAACACCCAATGGTATGGATCCGCGAAATTGGAATGATGATGTTAACCATTTCTTAATGGAGAAACACCAAATATGTTCTAAAAAAACACAGAATATCATCGGGCAAAGCAAATAATAAAGAATCACATAGGGACAAGCACCTACAAGAGTGTTTGTTTTAAGAAGGTAAGTTACCATACAGATTTATATATATCTTATATATATATATATATATATATATATATATATATATATATATAAACCCAAGATAAAATAAAAAGAAAATTTTGGAAGGAAAGAAATTTTTTACATACATATTTTTTTTAGCAAAACAAACAAAATAAATCATGATTCAAAAGTAAGATTATTCGTAAGAAAAATTCTCAAAAAACCACTTTCATTATTCATTTTTAAGTAAATCAAGAAAAAATTCACTATTATGACAACTTTAGTAAATATCAACAAAATTATCATCAAAATGAATCATGGAGATGTTTTTTCGGGATTTATTTTACGAAGCATGTTATTTTTTATTAATCTAGTGATTTATTTATTTTGTTCACCAAAAAATACGAAAACCACACTTCTACCTTTCTACTAAAAAACTTTTAATGGATCTCTCTCTCTCTCTCTCTCGCTCATCTCTCTCTCTCTCTTCTCTATATATATATATAAATATATATATATATATATATATATATATATAATATTGGGGGGAGACTAATAAAATCACTAAAATTTTTGTGCCTTAGGATAAAAGACTTAACCATTAAATTAAAAATGACAAACCTCAGTAAATTGGACGTGCATACACCGAATTATAACAATTCTCATTTAATGGATTTATTTTTCGTTTTTTTTTATTTTTCTAAAGCATGTTTTTTATGAAAAAAAACTAAAAATATCAAACTTATAATTTTTTGTCCTCGTTAAATAGAATCCATATTTATACATAACTTTTTTATATTTTTTATGTCTATAATAATGATTTGCACATATGCACATTTATGTTTGTGCACATTTGTGTTTGTACACACATGCATGCTTTTAACGTAAAATATGCATGTATGCCCAGCACTTGAAACAGCATTTTTTTTAGAAATTTATTTCATCAAATCATCTTCTATAACATCCTAGCCTATTAAGACAGTTATAAAACAAATGATAAAAATAAAAAATAAAACAAATATCAGGACAATATTCACAAATGTGTGTATATGCACAAATACAATTGTACATGTGTATATTTGTGATGTGCACATATACACATTTTGTTTGTTGTCACATACATAACCCTGCTTGTGCATACATGTATTATTTATACATACAATATGTGTATGTGGACATCATATGAAATTAATATTTTTTTTCAGCAAATGAGTTTTTATACAACGAACTTATCCTAATAATTTTTTTTTAATATTGAAGAAAAGAGTTATCAAATGTTTAGAAAATACACAAATACAACTGTGCATATTTGCACATGACTAATATATACATGAAAAAAAACATAGAAATTTACATATCAATAATGAAGTCTATTTATAAAGGACAAAAAAATTATAAAATTTGGTTTTTTTTGGTTTTTTTTTAAAATAAGTTTTGACAATTAAAAAAACGGAAAAAATAAGTGGATTTTTTTGTTGAGATTTTTATTGTAATCTGGTAAATGCATGTCTGTTTAATAATCATACATTTCTTTTAATCTAATGGTTAATATTTTGATTCTAAGATCTCAAAAAACTTAGTGATCTCAATGAATCGTTATATATATAATATATATATATATATATATATATATATTATATATTATCTATATATATATATAAAGAGAGAGAGAGAAAGATTAGAGCGGAGAGAGAGAGTTGTATGTGTATTTATTAAAGTATAACACAATTTGTGATGTTAAATAGAATTTGAATAGACACGAACGTATCACGATGCTCATGTCAATAACGAATCTACTCCATTTTTTAATCTAATGATTAAAAAAATGTATTTTAATATCTCAAAAAACTTAGTGATCTCAATGAATTATAAACATGTGTATGTGTGTGTGTTTATTATATATATATATATATATATATATATATATATATATGTGTGTGTGGGTGTGTTTGTTTGTTTGTTTGTGTATGTGAGTTTGTTTATTAAAGTATAACATAATTTGTAATGTTAAATAGAATTGAGTAGGATAGAAGCATATCACGATGCTCATGCCAATAAACAAAGGGCATTCGTCCACCGATTAATTGATGATCATTATGTAAGTTTATATTACTCATAAGTGAAGTAGATTGTTGTTTTTACCTTAAATTTCAAGTATATTGATAATTTTTTTAAAATGCACAATGCTTCATGATATTTATCTTAAAACTTAACTCTCAACCTCTTCTAGTAATCCAATCAAGGTTGATGTGATAGGCGTGTTTGTGAAAGCCTTGGGGTCCTCGAATGGGACATGTAAGACGCATAGGGTGTAAACTTCTTTCTACATACGCATACAAGTGCTCATTTTCAGTAGCAATCATAGTCGTTAGCATCACAACAAACTCATGTACGTATTATATTAATTAACTAATTTAGTACAATGCTTAATATATTTGTTATAAATTTGGTAGTTTTGTATTTCGCTAAATTGTTAAGAACTTAATACATTTTTTGTGAATTTTCAAGCTTGATAGTTTTTTAAATTGTTAAGGACTTTATGTATTTGTTATGAATTTATTAGTTTGGTACTTTCCTAAATTAGTAAGGACATAATGCATTTATTATGAATTTGATAGTCGGGTATTTTGCTAATATTTATAATATATATATATATATATATATATATATATATTATATATATATATAAATCAATATGGTTCAAGTTAGGCTTCTATCTTCAACCATATTTATTTAAAACACTCCAAGTTTTTCAAAATATTTTACTTAATAGAATGATCAATTGTAATATTTTTTCTATATAAGAAAATTACCTTTCATGTTAAGTTACTCATATTTCATTCTCTTCTCTTCCCACTATATATATATATAATATATATATATATTATATATATATATATCTATATATATATATATATTGATAGTTTTTTGTGAACTTAGAGTCTAATAAAATCACAAAGTTTTTTGTGAACTTAGGATAAAGGTCTTAACCATTAGATTAAAAGTGACAAACTTTAGTAAGTTGATCGTGCATACACCAGATTAAATTAATTCTCACTTAATGGATTTATTTTTCATTTTTTACATTTTTCTAAAGCTTGTTTTTTTATGAGAAAAAAACTAAAAATATCAAATTTATAATTTTGTCTCCTCTATAAATAGAAATTCATATTTTTAGATAATTTTTTCATATATTTTATGTCTATAATAATGATTTGTACGTATGCACATTTATGTTTGTGCTCATTTGTGTTGGTACACACATGCATGCTTTTAACGTAAAATATGCGTGTACGCTCATCACTCGAAAAAAACTTTTTTTTTCGACATTTGTTTCATCAAATCATTTTCTATAACATTTTAGCCTATTAAGACATTTATAAAAAAAACAAACAAATATCGGGAAAATATTCACAAATGTGTGTATATGCACAAATACAATTGTGCACTTGTATATTTGGATGTGCACATATGCACATTTTGTTTGTTGTCATATGCATAACCCTGTTTGTGCACACATGTATTATTTATACATAAACTATGTGTAGATGGAAATCATATGAAATTAATATCTTTTTCCAGCAAATGACTTTTTATACAACCGACTTATCCACAAATACAATTGTGGATATTTGCACATGACCAATATATACATGTAAAAATATAGAAAATTACATATCAATAATGTTGTCTATTTATAAAGGACAAAAAATTATAAATTTTGGTTTTTTTGGTTTTTTTTTAATAAAATAACCTTTGACAATTAAAAAAACGAAAAAAAAAATAAGTGGATTTTTTTTGCGTTGAGATTTTTATTGTAATCTGATAAATGCACGTCCGTTTGATAAATATACATTTCTTTTAATCTAATGGTTAATATTTTGATTCTAAGATCTCAAAAGACTTAGTGATATATATATATATAATATATATATATATATATATATATATATATATATATATATATATATAATATATATATATATGTATGTGTGTGTATTTATTAAAGTGTAACACAATTTGTAATGTTATATAGAATTTGAATAGACACGAACGTGTCATGATGCTCATGTCAATAACGAATCTACTCCTCTTTTAATCTAATGTTTAATAAATATTTATTTTAAGATCTCAAAAAACTTAGTGCTCTCAATGAATTATAAAAACGTATTTGTGTATGTGTATGTGTGTGTGTGTGTATATATATATATATATATATATATATATATATATTATTATATATGTGTGTGTGTGTGTGTGTGTGTGTTTATTAAAGTATAACACAACTTTGTAATGTTAAACAAAATTTGAGTAGGGTAGAAGCATATCACGATGCTCATGCCAATAAACAAAGGGCATTCGTCGACCGATAAGCTCATGATCATTATGTAAGTTTATATTACTCATAACTGAAGTTGATTGTTGTTTTTTACTTTAAATTTCAAGTATATTTATAATCTTTTTAAAATGCACAATGCTTCATGAGATTTCTCTTAAAACGTAACTCTCAGCCTCCTCTAGTAATCCAATCAAGGTTGATGTGATAGGTGTGTTTGTGAAAGTCTTGGGTCCTGGAATATGACATGTAAGACACATAGGGTATAAATTTATTTCTATGTACATATACAATTCCTCTTTTTCAGTAACAATCATAGTCGTTAGCATCACAACTCAGGTACTTATTATATTAATTATGTAATTTAATACGATGCTTAATATATTTGTTATGAATTTGGTAGTTTGGTATTTTTGCTAAATAGTTAAGAACTTAATACATTTTTGTGAATTTTCTAGTTTGGTAGTTTTATAAATTGTTAAGGGCTTAATGTATTTGTTATGAATTTATTTGTTTGGTACTTTACTAAATTAGTAAGGACTTAATGTTTTTATTGTGAATTTGATAGTTTGATACTTTTCATATGTGTGTGTCTATATATATATATTATATATCTATATATTATATATATATATATATATATCTATTATATATATATATATATATGGTGAGGTCATTTAAATCAATATTGTTCAAGATGTATGTATGAAAAATATTTGTTGATGGGTTTGAGAAAATAAGAACATTTGGTTGGAGTATTTCAAAATTTTCCTTATAATCATTCTTTAATTTACTGGTTTTTCTAAAATAAACCAGAGTTTACTAGTCTCTCTAAAATAAACCATTGGTAAGGGTGAAATTAAATACCATCTTACATTTTCTTCCTACTTATCTTCTTACATATATGAAATGGTTACAAGTTTAACATTTTGATAAACTTAATAACATTTTAAGACACTTGTCATTATTTCACATGGGTAGAATAATAAGTAGGAATAAAAGTAGGAGGATATATACTTTCTCTTGTTAAGGATACATACCTTTCAGTTAGCTTGAAGCTAAGTCTTCCATGTTGTCTGGTTCCGATTTTATCCTTAGAAGCATCTCCATGCTTTTCGGTTACAACCCATTCGTTCACTCTTTGAGTCTCAAAGAGTCCGATAAACGTAGCCTTACATCGATGAAGGGACATAGAATTCTCAATTACAATCCAAAATACCACCAAATATAAGGACCTACAAAAGAGGATGGAAGTATGACAAACATCCCGTTCTTAGTAAAAAGACTAGTAACTATATTAAAGAATAAAAACCTTGGAGTCCCAACAGCATTTAGGATAGTGATGATGGTTGGGATGTAAATCGTACCCCACCTTGGAACTTCAACTTCAGGTACCCACACACATATAGGAATTACAACACAATAGAGCATGAATGTAACAATATGAGCCACAATCTTCCTTACGAAGAAGAAACTGTATATTAAATGTAGCTTCTTCCACAATGTAACTTTCTGGATAACAAAGTAAACGATTCACAAATCTTCAAACTAAAGGAGAAAAAGAATAATGATGTTACCTCACTTATGATAATCTCATAGACCATTTTCCTGAAAAGGTTTGCCGCACCACAAGACCATCGGTGTTGTTGGTAACGATAAGCTTTCAGTGTACTTGGTAGTTCGTTTTTAACCTACATATCAACACATAAAGACTTAAATTAAGATACAAAGAAAGGTTATATTCATACCGGAAGTAATACGTTTCAATCTATTGACCTTTATTGAACCAATGTATAAGAATTTCCAGCCTTTAAGACTAGCTCTAACTGCTAGATCCATATCTTCAACTGTAGTACGATCCTTCCATCCTCCAGCCTCATTAAGTGCTGCCATCCGCCAAACTCCAGCAGTCCCTACAAAAAACATATAACGTTACACTTTGATTTAAAAAAGACGCTTTAGAACCTTAAAATTAAGTTCAACAACATTTCTATTACCATTGAATCCGAAGAATGCATAAGTAGAAGAACCAACTTCTTGCTCCACTTTAAAATGGTAGTTAAGTGACATCTCTTGTGTTCTTGTCAATAAGCATTCATCTGAGTTCACTATAACATGATGACATTGCCACCATAAAACGTATTAATTAGTTTCTATTTGTTTATATTATATTCCCCAAACAACATATAAATGAGACAAACATATAAAACGTTGGAATTTATATATGTGTATGTTAAGGGTACGTAGCATTTGAACATGCTAACGTTAAAAATAATGTAAGCAGCGAAAACTTTAGTCGGTAATATCCTTTTATTTAAAGAAAAACTAATTAATTTATTTTCATTACAGGGTAAATTAACAATCGGAACATGTTGACCGAGCACAAAGA